ATTTTAAATCACACTGGCATTAGAATTTTGCACTTTTAAAGGCTACCAGGAACATCACTCAAGCTAACACCATCTCAGTATGCTACCTACTTAACCTGTTTGTTAACAGTGTGCAACCAGCAACTCTCACAGAAGTCTGGGAGCTACCAAAAACCACCTACAGCTCTTAACACCAACAGACACAGGTTCAGCACCTTGTGGACATAAGAAAAAACAATACCTGGAGCTGGAGGTGTACGCAAAGTAACTTCTTGGCTCCAAGGACTACAGATGGACCCTTTATATCCTCGAACTCTAAAGGCATAGCTGCTGTCATCATCAAGATCAGATATTACTTTGCTCTTGCTGCAAACTTTGACATCCTGCCACGTCACACTCTCCTCTTCTTTATTGAGCTTATGATACTGAAGAACATAGATATCAGCTGAATCTGTCTTCCCAGGGCATTCCCAACTGATCAGAGCTCTGTTGTACATTCTGCTCTGCTCTTCACTGATTTCTGGTACTTCTAGACCTGGAAAGCCAGAGATTCAGGAGAAAAAACCCTCAAATTTATGTACACCTTGTTTTAGAATTAACCATATAAGCCCTTCGTTGAGTAGCTATAGCACAGTGTCTGTATGCAGTGGGAAATCTGACTCACCCAGTTAAAGAGTGCGGATGAGAACGGTTCTGTTCACACGCTTAAATAAATCTTTTACTTTCTGTTTTTACTTTGAAAGTTGTATTATTTATTTTTGCTGTTAGCTAAAAAAACATGTAAAAACCTATTCTTTTCTGTCATGCAACAAGAAGTTTCTAGGAATACCTAGTATTACTTAAGTACAATATTTTGGAAGCAAATGTAAACTGGTACTGAATGCAATCATGTCTTAGCTCTTTATCAAAGCTCAAGCTACCTGCTGACAGGTAATGCCTTGTGGATCATGGAGACAGAAGGGACAATGCAAGTCACAAGACTGCAGCCTTGCCTAAGTTTTGCTTCTTTCCAGAGAAGCCCTTAGAGCCATAACTTGAGAAAGACCTGATGCTCTTTCAATTTACCATTAGCATGGAAGTACAAGTCACCAAGGACCTCTTCTTGCTTGGCTACGTCCAGCACAAAGTCTTCAAAGGTAGTTTCAGCTGCTGGCTTGAAGCTCTTCAGAGATTCAGTAGCTTTTTGGATTCTGAAAGCACAGAAACAGAAGAATGTCAGAAGAAAGGAGAGGGAATTCACATGTGTGCATTCCTTTAAGTAAAAATGCTAGTTCTTGCTTTAAAAAAAGTTCTGTTTTCATGAACTTACTGACAGTGTCCCAAGAATTTCTGCCTCTCTAGACAGAATTCAAACGCAAAATTTAAAGGCCTTTTGTACATCAGTGTAAAGATAATGAGCAGGTAGTCATTCAGTTGGCTGAGCATTTTATCAATTTGGGCCATTACGTTCAAAGAACAAAACAGGTGTGAAGCGCTAATGCAGAACAGCTAGTAAAATCATGGAGTTTAAAGCCAGAAGAGACCTGTTAGATTAACTTGCAAATACTCGATACAATCTCTGAGCAAACGAATATGTCACATGTGTCAGTGAGCTACCCTTCCTCTGCAGTCCTACCAAACAAGGCTAGGCGCTCTTGCCAGGACAGAGCCCCTCTTGTGCGCTGTTTCTTAACGCACGCTGTAGCACAGTAATTTCTACTGAACAGCACCAGGACCATCTCTGAGCCTCTGCAATACAAGGTACTGCGTTCAGTACTTTGCTAGATGTCAAAAGAATATGACTGACCAAATATCCTCAAACAGGACCCGTACCTCAAACAAAAGATCATTAAGATAGATACCTGACATGAAGTTGTTTTGCTGTTTGAACAAAACAAGACGGATCAGTTTCCTTAAGCACCTCTTGAGCATATCCTACAAGGCCATTATTTTCCAGAAGCCCTTGATATTCTTCTGCTTGTGCTTGCAATTTTTCCAGTCTTAAATTCTTAGAAGTTTCAATTGCCCTAAGAGCTGAAGATTTCTTCTCTTCCAGGATTTGAAATAATTTCTCAAAACTGTGAGATGCTTCTTCTTTAGCTCTTTCACTGTTGCGCTAGGAGGGAACAAAAGACATTTTAGACAGATTTCACAGCACTGTGGCTGTGCACACAAACATAGTTAAGGCTGTTAGAAGACACTGTAACAATTTAGTCATCCATTTGATAGACAAGACTAATGAGCTTTGTTGTGCTCTTCAGTACTGACAATATGATCAACACTGCACTCAAGCGAGTAAGCACTTACTATCTTAACATTCCTCTGACTACGTCATGAGTTACGCAGGGCATTTGTCCGAACAGCTCATGGAAAAGCACTGTAAGAGCAGGTCAGTCTTTGAAGCCTTCATGCCCAAGAGCCAGGTGCTCTTCCATCTTCCCCAACCACCCTGAACCAGGGGTCCAGCCTAGTTTCTCACATATGCTCTCAGAATCATAGTATCATCTCAGACTAGTGCCCTGGATAAAAGGAACTACAGAGCATGGAGACAGCCCATATCAACATACAGGCAGGTCCAGGAGCTCCTGCAATTTCTGTCATCACGTTTTTCAGCTTGTCTGAGCATGTCCCAGTTCTGACTGTTCTGCAGGGAGATTCTGCCCTTAATTCTGACTTTACTGCAACGTACTCAAGGTAAACAGACAGTGTAAATTGTACAGCACCATTAATATACAAGAGCTGTAAGTCTAAACCACCTCTCTTTGGTTAAGGTAACAATTAAGTCATTGCAATTAAATTTACAGCAGCACTCAAAACTTAATTTCTCTCTGTATACTGCCCAAATTTTCTACACTGTCAGGACTAGGTCTTACCATGTGTGATTCAGGACTAACACAACCTGTACAGAAATTGTTTTACTGGCTGACTGAAAAAAACCAAAATTATTTGAAATGCTTCAATGAGAACAATTCAAGTCCCTGCTGTGTCTCTGCAAGGGCCATCCCCAGACAACCTGCAAGCCACTCTTACCTCTGTTTCTTTCAGCAGCAGATCCAGCTGTGTGATGTGAACTTTCACCTTGCTCTCCTTACTGATGAGGTACTCAATATCTTTTGAAAGTTTCTCCTGATAAAATAAAACAGAATAAAGCTATCCCACCCAAACTGACAACCAGCGCAGGCAGGTCATCCAGCTAGTGCTCGTTTAGCTAGTTACAAGGACAACTGCCTGCCACCAGTTATGAACAGTAACACTGTGGAGAGCTGCTTGGTGACCTGAGATGACCACGCTGTGAGCAGGACTGGGGGCACAGCCTCTAAGGACAAGAGGTAACACCCTCAGCTGGCTCATTCCTCCCCAGCCACAGCAGTATCCTCTCCTAGGCTAGGAACATGAGGCTTCAGGACCTTGAAAGATGGGGGAGAGTGTTGTTGGCTTTCGCCATAATAATTCTTTTTTCTGCTGACATATGGGGAATTTGATGAAGAGGCCTGAAATGACCAGTCCTGGGGGAACAAAGGGGGGAAGCTGAGGAACTGTGGAGATATGAACACCCACCATCTGGAAAGAACCAAACCGGCGGTCTGGAGGTCAGATAACCCCTTCATCAGAGGTGAAGAGGTCACTCTGAAGAAGACTGTGGGCCTTCCTGACAAGGACCTTTCCCACGACCACTGGGCAGTAGTGCACATGCACGAAAAGATAGGATTCTATCTTAATAAGTCCCTTCAAAGTAAACAGGATAACCCTGCCCCTTTTTAAAACTAATTATAATAGCCCAACCCTAAAATGAATATGTATATGACTAATGAAATCCTAAATGTATTTAAAGGTGTAACATATCTTTCCCAGTGTGCCTCTGACTTGGGTCAAGCACCCAGCGCTGTGCTTTTGCTTTATTGACTTTGTCCTCGCAAATAAAACTAAACCTACCTTGATTACAAGGCTTGGGTGTTTATTACAAGGACATTACTAAAACTTATAGAAAAGCACAGTTGGGTATTAACTCATTTGTAGTAAGATTTGCTAGAAAAATGAGTGGATCAAAGCACAAACTTATGAGTGTCTCTGCACTTCCTTAGCTGCAAGAGTTAACAGCTATACAGGAAAAGCCTTGCAAACAGGCAAGCAGGCTAAAGAGCACCAGGCAGGCTGGTCTGGTCCTTTTTCTTTCCTGTGAGCAAGAGAGGAAGAGAGAAGAGGAGGTAGCAGCAATCATTCTTTATCAACAAAGCAATGTTTGCAAGTCTTCCCCGTTGTACTCTGCTTAGGGAACTAACAGCTACGCAACTTCAAAAACTACAGGGTCCCAACAGACACTTCAGATGCACGTTTTTCAAGAGTGCTTCTAAAGTACCAGCTAAGCCATGCCACAAGGACACTCATCTGGACATCCAGGGGTAAAAGCTAGATTGTAAAGTATTAACTACTTAATCTTTCTGCATTGTTCAGTACTGCTGTCTAGTTGGCTAAAATAAGGGGGAAACACTGTTAAGGGGGTTATGTTTCAAGGCTCATAGAAAATTTAGTTTCTGAGACGTGTGCTACGCCACACCAATATATACACTAACAGATGTTGCACAAGAACATGTGTCCTGGTTTTGCTAGGATAGAGTTCATTTTCTTTTTAGTAATTAGAATATCTGTATTTTAGTTTCAGTGTTTCAATTCAGACTTATTATGAGAAGAATGTTGATAACAGTACTGGTGTCATTTGTTTCTGCCGGAGCTCAAGGCCACCGTGTTTGGCTGGTTCACAGCTGCATCAGGACTGGGAGGGGGAAGTGCAGTGAATAGCAGAACCCCAAACTGGCGTTTGGATGTGCCAGTGAGATACTCCAGATCATATCTCGTCATGTCAGAATATTATCCAGGGTTGACTGGAAGACAGGGGTGTATTCTCTTGGGGATGGCTCGGGCTCTCGCTCTTCCAGGGTTTGGGTTCGGGACCGTCTCAGCTCCAGGATCTCTGGCTGGCACAGGCCAGTGGGTGGTGAGCAACTGCACTATGTATCACTCATTTGTATAGTCTGTTATCACTGTTGTCATCATTTTATTTTAATTAGTAAATGGTTTTTATCTCAACCTGTGAGTTTCCTTGCCCTTCTTTCCAATTCTCTCCCCTACTGCCTGGGTGAGGCAGGGGGAGGGTGATAGAGCAGGCTGTGTTTGGCTGCAAGCCAAAAGGGATGAATCCACCCAAACCACCACAACATGCCTCATGACTAGTTCAGTGTCCTCTCACACACATTCTGGCTTCCTGACAGAAGGAGTTTGCCCTTACACCAGAAGCTCAGTACTCCTCCCCTTCTTAAGGCCAGCTCTAACAATATTTACTTTTACCTTAAGGGTTTTGTAGGCAGTAGTCATGGTTGTTACTCTGTGGTTTGCATGACATCCACCCAGTTTACAAAGATGACAAACAGGCCTTCTGCAGAGTTCACAGTACATGTTTACCCTCTCCATTTCATGTTCCGGACACAACAAAATCTGAAAAAAAAAAGAAAAAAAGAGAGATCAGAAAAAATGCAGATGTACTCCCAAAAACCGAGGTGCTCAAGGAACCATCAAAACACTCAATCATCCCACAGCAGCAACTGATTTAATCAGTGGCTTTTTAATATTCAGTTTCTCTTCCACCTTTTATAATTGTCCATGCCAGTGAAAGCCAGCAGACAAACACACAGTTTCACAAAGTTTACAGTGAGTAAACCTGTAGCAATGTCAGTGTACACATCACATATCCTCCATACTGCAGTCGTTTTGCTCATCCCTGAAGTTGTTTGCATGCCTCAAGCTCCCTACGCTCCTGTTTAGAGCTGTAAATGTAATATATAACACACTCACCCTGTCAAATTTAGCCATATCATGCCAGCACCTCTTGAAACAGCTACAAACTGTTTCTTAAAGCAAGAGTTGGCATAGTGCTGTAATGATTTAAGTCTAAGCTGGACTCTGATCAGTCACGAACATGTTGTTCTTGGAACAACAAATGAAACGCAACCACCACCACCAGTCACAGTTATTTTGAAGAAAAAAAGGCTCCAGTGTTTAAATTTTTCTGTCTGACTCCAATTCCAAATTGTTCATGCTGAGAAATTAGAATCTAAAAGATTTATCCCTCAGTTGCTTAGACATCACCCAGCTGTTGTAACAACCTTTGAATAAAACTGCTGATAACCATGGGATGAGCATTTATCACCTCGCTGTTTGATATTTACATATGTTTACAAGCTTTAAATGAAATTCCTCACAAATTTGCAAACGTTAAGTGCTTAAGCCTGAGGAAGGACCAAACATTCTTCAAGGAATGCTGTCCCAAGCACATAAAAGAGACACCACTGTGCAGAATCAAAGAGGAATTCAACCCAGCTATGGAAGACCACTGACTCATTTTCCTGCAAGCATGAAGGACATTCAGATATGACTGGAAGTGTTTTGTGGAAGTTCAATGAATATGCATGTATTAGGTCAATATAACACTTGCTGAAACAAAGATGGACACACACACCTTAGGGGAGAGATCTCCCCTAAGTGTGTGTCCAGCACTGCAATAAAGAACACCTGCTTTCTAAAACCCCAAAACGAGTCTTAGAGAGTTTCTCTGACTGGCTTTCTCGGTATCAGATTTGGCACCCCAGATGGGACCCTCTCTGCCCGGCTGCAGGATCCGTTGAGAACAGGACTCCCTTGGGTACCCCCAGATACTTCTCTGGAGGGACTCCTCGCCTCAATCCGCTCACTGCAGGAGCAGACAAGGACCATCAAACAGAAGGTATTCTTTTGAAATTTAATTTTGGTTTGGTATTTGGTTTTGTGAACCGGTTCATTTGGTGGCTACCCATTAGTCGTTACTGTTTTAACGCAGGGGGAGCCATATGCAGGACTGCTCGTGTGTTATTACGCATACATCTGGTAACTCTAAGTTTGGTGTGCCTCTGCTCCCCTGCCTGACGTTTTAAAGGCGTGAAGGGATGTCTGGTAAAATCCCTTGGTACCTCTGTAAGTTTTGTCCCTCTATTTGCCTCCTTAAAACAGGCAAATGGAAGTCTGTTGAAATTGTATGATTGTGTGTGAATGAGACATACAAATATGTACGAAGCAAGTGTGGAGTCCGGATCCGTGGTTCTGTTATCCCACGAGGGAAACAACCAGAGAAGGACGAACCGACTGATAAAAGATACCATTTTAAGTGGTGTACACGAGAGTGAATGTGGGAGCCTGAATGGTGCCTGTTGCATCCAGACAATAATTGCAAACCTGTGTATATTTTGGAATGTATGTGGTGTGAACATAGGCTGTGGCTCAGGTTTGACCAGGATATTAACTGCCCCAAGTGTCAGGTGTGGGTTCCCTGGAAAAGAAAGAGAACGCTTTGTAAGGGTAATTTGTGGACGAAGACACAAATTAAGATGGGGGATAGAATTTGATGAAAATACCTAACTTGGTAGTGAGAGAACAACTTACTGTAACTCTCTGCAAAATCCTGGGCTTGTGAACCTGATCTCCAACTGAGGTGTGGTATCATTGCGGGTGCTTGCAAATTGTGTGATAAGTGGAAAGGTGCACAGGTGCCGGAGATCAGTGAGGTTTGACACACACACACAAAAAAAAAAAGGAAAAAATAAAAAAGAAGTCTCCTCTGGGATGTGTACTGGAGTGCTGGGGAGGGGGGAGGGATCGAGGAGATCAATGAGGGCAGCTCATGGAGTATTGCGGTTGTTGCAAGTACTCTGGTACAATAATCAAAATTTGATTGTATAGAAGAGTTGGGTTTTATTAAAAGAAGTAGAAAACCGTAAAGCATAATGTACTAAGTTAAGATTGTTAGGTTTGAACTAGGTAATCACAGAAACCTCACCAAGAAGAGATTGTAAAGTCCCAGGCCTGTTCTAATCATTAACTCAGTACTGGAGTTAAGAACAATGTATCTTCGTCATAGAATTTCAGAAATTGAAGTTTATTACCTTAATGTTCATAGAAGCATTAAGACTCTTTGTTTTACTGATCACTAGGATGTGACAAGACAACATGTTGAACCGTCTCCTTGGGACAAGGTAGACAGAAGTGTTGGAGACAGGCCCAGGAAAGAACTGAGCATGCACAAAGGAAAAGTACAACCAAAGGACACTGTGATGACGACCACCAGAGGACCATGACGACCACCAGAGAGAGAAAGTGCACATGTGAAAGGGACAGTTACATATATTAATAAGTTCCTGAAAATGTAATGAATATGTTAATGACTTCTCGGAAAAGTAATGAATATGCATGTTCTGATAGTATAGAGCTTTTGTGGCGAGACAAGTCGGATGCATGATAGGTGGAGCGACCCCCCATGCACCCGGTGCCATAATAAAGAATGCCTGCTTCTTAAGACTACATTGGTGTTAAGAAGATTTATTTCCCTATTTTGGTGACATGGTCATTGGTGACTGATGTATACTTTGGATAAGCAGGAAAAATGGCCAAAGAATGTACCTAGAAAGTATAATGCTATTTTAAGCTATCGATTAAAAGGATGATGGTTCGGCATGTAATACTGAAAGATCCAGAGGATGTGCAGGAGAAAGGGGTTCAGATGTCAGTTGTGCTGTGGGGTTGGAATAGATAAATAGAGGGTGGCTAGTAATAAAAAAAAAAAACATTTAAAAAAGGCAGGAATGAAATTTATAGTCCAATTGCGGGACAGACTAAACAAGGAGGAGCTGTATTCAAAGCCCCTTTGAGGCAGGCAGTAGGACCAGCAGGAGAGCCGGTGTGAGTAACAGTGCCCTTATCTGGAGCTGATTTAAAGGCGTGGAAAGAAATGGCTGGGACATACAGGGAAAATCCTCATCAATTAGCACAGCCCTTGGAAATCAGAGTTTAATTTTATCTTGGGTGAAAAATGTAATTACCAGGTTAACCAAGGGAAGGATGAAAAATCTTCCACATTTTATAAGCGGTTATATGAAACTGATTGGAAATATTCTGACTTAGATCCAGACAGAGAGGGAGATGCTCTGTCACTGGGAAATACATTTATTGGGCAATCAAATCTGGATACTAAAAGGAAGCTACAAAAATTGGAAGGAAGAAGGGGACTTGGTTCAGGGATTGGAATGGAGCTGAAAAGCGATCAGTGTGCTTATTGTAAAGAGTTCAGACACTGAGAAAAGGAGTGTCCTAAATTGAAACAAGATTCAGGGTTTGGGACTGTGGCAGAGCTGGAGTGACGGGAACCAGGGGAACCCTCCCTAGCAGAGCCCTTGGTAAAAATTCAGCTAGGGAAAAAGGAAAAGTCCTTACAATTTTTGGTGGATACAGGGATTCTGTATTGAATCAAGCATTGTTGCCAATAAGCAGTCAAAATGTTAATATCGTGGGAGCAACTGGACAAGTAGAGAAAGCTTTCTTTTTGAAGCCTCTGAAAAACAGAATCAGGAGGAGTGTGGGAGTCCACAAGTTTCTCTACTTGCCAGATGCACCGAGATCTCTGCTAGGCAGAGACTTATTGGAGCAATTAAATACCAAAATAAAATTTATGAATGGAGAAATTACATTTGAAACTCCAGAAGAAAACCATGTTGAAACCCTGAGCTTGACCCTTTCAGAACACAGAATTAAAGGGGAAGAAATTTTACATGAACTAATCAGGTATATCCTGGGATCTGGGCAATGGGAATACCTGGAAAGGCTAAAAATGCTGAATTGGTCACTATTAAGCTTAAAGAGAAGGTTCGACCAGTAAGAATTAACAATACTCCTTGAAATTGGAAGACAGAAAAGGGGTAAAAGGCATAATAGAAGAATTTATAAAGCGTGGGTTACTGGTTGAATGCTCCTCAGAGTATAACACCCCTATTTTGCCAGTAAAGAAGCCAGATGGTAAAACTTACTGGCTGGTGCAGGATTTAAGAGCAATAAATCAGATAGTTGAAGATTTACATCCGGTAGTGGCAAACCCTTACACCTTATTAACAAACCTAAAGGAAACCTATGAACGGTTTACAATATTAAGCATTAAGCACCTCACCTTTTTCCTCATCCTCAGTCACCATGTTTCACAGAATCACAGAATCATAGAATCATAG